TACTTGAAGTAGGAAAGTTAAGCCAAGGTTTCCTATTTTGGTTTGACCTTTCCTAATCCTAAAAGCCCTAAGTTCCAGCAACATTGAAGGTCTCTTATGCATTTTAGGACACAAACTAAACCTTCTTTGCACCATTCTAACCCTTGCCGTGGCTCACCTTACCCTTTCCTTTCCTTGCAATGCAAGGTGATAGCTTATTCCCGATTTTGTGTCCCAAGATCACATTCCTTTTTAACCCTAGACAGTGCCGCACCCTACATTCCTATTCTATTCTAAATCCTTGCCTAATTTCAGCCTTAAAACACGTTCCCTTTCCTAATCTTCCTCGCTGCAAGTTCCTTTCCTTTTCCCTTTGGATTCTGACTTTAAGTCTCCTTTTCCTTGTGGATTTGGGGTCTAATTCTTTCCTAAACCATTTAATAAAAGTTAAGATCCTTTCCCTTAAATAAAGAACCCTTTGCCACACCCATAGAGAAAGCTATTCATTCATATACACAATCAGCCATCCTTGACTCTTACACCACTTATAGCCTCAGCCTACATTCATTCTCCACCATTCCCATACTTTCATACCTTCAACCACACATCCATACACCATTCCTCTACTTTGCCGCACTCCTTTACCAACCCAAATTCACTCCTAACCCAGAAACACATCCAAAATCATCCCTAAAACCTTTGTGCTGTAGCATAGCAAGGAAGAAGAAGAGAAGAAGAAGCCTTGGACGTTTTTGCATTCAAGTTGGATTGTTGGAACGTTTTTAGGTGTAATCTATCTTTTGTTTTCAATGTTTAATTCAAGTTTTCTTTGTTTTGTTGTGAACATGAGAGGCTAAACCTGTTTTAGCTAGGGGAAGCTTTGAAACCATGATTATGTTTGTGATATGAATTGATTAATTCCAGTTGTGATTTCATAAATTGTGAATGCAATTTACTTAACCGTTTGATTGAGAACTTGTTCTTGTATGTTGATTAGGGAGGCCTACTTAGTTTGCATGCTTGAATTTGGTGCTAGAATATAAGGGAGTTTCACATAATCGCTACAAACTTATATTCACAAGTAGTTAAGATTGTTTTCACAATCATGTTAAGTTAAATTCCTAGCATGAGTATCATGATGTCATAGTTATGAATGCTTTGTCAATACTTATGATTTTCATAGAAAGTAATGATCTTTGTTTGTATCTCTATTATGATGTCATGTAGGGAACTTTTGAAGAATGCTTTGGGTTGTCGAACTAAAGGAGAATCTGAGGGTTAATTAGTGATGTCATGGTTAGTCTGGGGTGTTGAGGTTCATGGTTTATTGAGAAAAGCAGCTGGAAATCAATTTGTGTTCGAATGTATCATGTGTGGAAAAGAATCCTCTAGCTAATCATCCATAGTTTTTCCCCAAATTCGTGATGCGAGAATTACTTGACACTCAAATTAAACCCTCGTTTGACAATTGTAGTAGAATGGATAAGTGAGGGATCGTTCTAGACGGGGGATTAGGAGGGCTTGCTAAAACCTTCTAAATTGACTTAAAAACATAAAAACACAATATAAAACACTATTTAATGCTCGAAGAAAACAAAATTTAAAATAAGAAAGATTAAGACTAAGACTTCAACGAAATAGGGGGGAATTGGATTTGGACGAAAATGAATGGATGGGAAGCTAGCTAAGGGTTCTTTCTCCACACATGATATTTATGCATATGAATTAATTTCCAGTTATTCCTTCATTGAATTATGAACGACAATGCCCCAAATTAACCGTGACATCACTAGTTAACCCTCAGATTTTCCTTATATTATTGGATTGGATGGCATCATTCGACAACCCAAAACATTCTCAAAAGTTCCCTACATGTCATCATAATAGAGATACAATCGAAGATCATTAAGAATAATGAAAACCATAAGCATTGACAAAGCATTTGCAACTATGACATCATGTTACTCATGCTAAGAATTAAACTTAACGCGATCGTGACAAGCGACCTTCACTACTTTCAAGTATAAGTTAGTAACGATTATGTGAAACCTTCTTAAACTTTAGCCACATATTCATGCATGCTAATTAAGTGTCGACCCTCAATCAACAAACACAAATAAGTTAATCATCAAATAGTTAAGCCAATTGCATTCACGAATCAAGAGTTCATAACCGGAATTCATCAATTCATATTACATAAATAATCATGGTATTGAAATCACCCCTAGCCAAAAAGGGTTTAGTTCCTCATAACTTTGAAATCAAAGAAACACCTAAACATTCCAACAACTCAAACTTGAATTGTATGAACGTTTAGGCACTCTTCTCTTCCATGCCTCATATTACAAAACAAAAAGAATTAAATTTAAACATTGAAATCAAAGAAACGCGTATGAATGTTTAGGCCCTCTTATCTTCCTCTTTATTGTGGCACAAGGACTAAGGAGATGTTTAGGGCTTTAAGTGTATGTGGAATGAAGTGGGGAATGGTTGGAGAGGGATGGAAATGGAAGAGGATAGATAGAAAATAGAAAGAAAAACCCACGGCTAGGAGAGGGAATGGAAGTGTTTGTGGTGTGGTGTTGTGTATGAAATGAGATGATTTTTGAATGAATGAATGCAAGGGTATTTATAGGAGGAATGGAGATGTATATGGCTATTTGTTTAAGGTGTTTGTGGTTGCAATGATGAAGAATTGCATGTGGAAATAAAAGGGAAAATGTGGTGAAATGATGAAGTAGGAAGGTGGAAATGCATGTGAGATGTTGGAAAGGAAATGGGAATATGAGTAGGCCATGGCATGGGAGTTGTTTTGTTGGTGTAAATGTGCCATGGTTGCAATGATGAAGAATAAAGGGTGCATGTGGGGTGGAATTGAATGAATGCAAAGTGAATGAATAATGAAATGAGTTAAAGAGGGAGAATGTGGTGAAATGATGAAGTAGGAAGGTGGAAATGCATGTGACTTGTTTGTGGAATAAAGAATGAATGGTGGAATGATGAAGAGTTGCATAAAGAATGCATTTAGGGTTAGCTAGGTTGGCTTTGTTTGGGTGCATGTGTGTTAATGGTGGTTTTGCATGTGAATTGATGGATTGTTTTTGATGGAATGGATGGTTCTTTGCATGGCTTTTGAAGTGATTGTGGGCTTTGGAATTGGAAGGAAATGCATGGCCTTGGGGTTGGTTTAAGAGAGAATGGGCTAGGCCCTTTGTTTTATGTCCAAAATGAATACAAGGCCTTCAAATTCGTCCAACACTTTGGCTCCAATCATATGCTATCCATTCCAAGCCCAATTTTGCTCCAAAATGCTCCAAAATGCATCTTTTTGCTTCCTTAGCCATATGAACCTAAAAACACACGAAAATGGCTTAAACTACTAAAACAACTATGAATTAACAACATAGATGCACGAAAACAAGCTAAGTAAGTCGCCTAAATATGCTCCTATCAATTCGTCCAAACTTTATTTGAGTCTTTACATTACTTGTTTTATTTTAAATTCGTCCAAAAACCCAATCCCCTTTAATTTGTTGTGTCTAAATAGCTAGAATCTGTCCAAATTGTGTTTTTCAGTGTTTTAAGGCAAAATCAATTCTATTTTCGTCCAAATTAAGTCTTAGAGTCTAGTTTGAGTCTATTTGGTTGTTTTGTGTTGTTTTGAGTATTTTCAATTTGTTCTGAGTTATATAAGTTTAGTTAAGAGTCTTTGAGTCTATTTAAGTGTTTTCAAGCCTTGTTTTGTATTCTTAAGTCAGTTTTCATTAGATTAGCAATCCCTCCTAATCCCAGGCCTAGAACGATCCCTACTTACATCTTTACTACAATTGTCAATAAGAGGGTTTAATTTGAGTGCTATTATTTATCACATCATGTTTCTAATCAAGCAGTTAAATAAAATTAGACTGACATGAGAGCTTAAGAAAGACAGTTCGAAGAAAACACCATGTCATGTGATTCATTAACTGCGCGATGTCTTTTGATATTTGTTATCAAAAATAAGACATGGATACATGATGCTTGTGAGATATGACATTTTTTTTTTATTTCATAAAGAGGGATAAAGAATGTCAAGTCTGGTGTGTGATGAACAGTCTGGGCCATAAAGCGATGAACTTCCGAGTGATGCACTGTTGTTAGTTTAGTGATAGCTTAATGGCAGTGCTCCTGGTTATGTACATTTTTTCTCACGAGGTCACGCATCCTATTTCCTGTATGAGGAGATAGACTAGAATAGATGTGAACTAAGTGTGTTGATTGAGACTATGCCGCACCCTCTGTGGGTGAGTGGGAGATGTAGGATTTATCTTATAGGATAAATAAATATCAAAGGATTTTCCACCCACATGAGGATATTAACCTCCTAATTATCTATGTGATAATTAGATGAAAATCAAGAGATATTCATTTTAGAATATACTTGGGATTTTCATGGGTTTTTCAGTCTTTGTACACTCTTTCCAACCACTAACGAGGCTTCGGGGAAGAAAGAAAACACAAGAAACACAAGTTTTTCTACAATTCAAATATTCTAGTTAGGTCTTTAGAGCTATCACTTTCGGCTCTAGGTCTTGGGAGGCGAAAACCAAGGGGCAACTTGGCATACAGTAGCCAACCCGACGACTTGCGAGGTTCTAGACATGCACGAAGGGTCAGAGCAGTTATTCGTGTTTGTAGGAGGGTGTTGAGATTCAAGTTTCTGCATAAAAGGTACACACGTCCTTTCGAATTTATTTAGTCTTCCAACAGTCCCAAAGCTACAATGCATTACAATTCTTTTTGAGCCAAAAAATACAAAGGAAATGTCAAATGAGCACCAACATGACTAATTTTGAATAAATATCACAGAGCGGTTTCTGCACTCTGCTTTTCACCTGCGACACTTTTTTTTTTTTCCTTCTTCTAGCCGTTATATTGAATAATTTGGAGGAAATCAATGAATAGAATCAAGGACGGGAGTGTTGGAGATCAAATGGGGAGCGCATAAATCACTCCCTAATTATCGCTGGAAAGGATATAGATACGATTTCAATGTTTTATCATTATCTTGCAATTCTGGTACAACTTCAAGTAAAACATTTTCCTTTGAAACAGACATAAACCCAAGGCTTATATGAAGGCAAAGATGGTGACCTTAGAAGAATCCAACCTTACAATAATATTCATCATCATTGACAAGCAATTCCACACTATAATACAAGGCTCAAATATATAATTATCAGTAACGATCGCATCTCAGTTCTTCATCCTTGTCTTCTCTCACTGCCTCACTCATTGCATCAAATTTTTGTACCCTGCATTGATTCAGAAAAGTGCACAAAACTTACCAGAAGAAAAATTAAAACAGAAATTGCTAAAACTCCATCTTCTGTCTTAAAGTGATTCGTTGGCACTGCAGGAAACAAACCAAAACACGATTTTAAAACTACGGAAACACTAACCTGCAGATTGGAAACCGGTTAATTATGCAAAGCTGGAGAAAGCAACGGTCTATTTGAGAAGAATGCTGCTAAATTCCCAGCTACAAGTTCACACAAATCCATGAAATATTCTGGTGTGCAAGGACCATTATGCGGTGAGAGCACAACATTATCCAATGGAAAGAGCTCTTTAGGAACTTGAGGCTCGGTCTCAAACACATCCAAACCAGCACCCCCAATTTCTCCTTTCACCAAACACTGCACCATTTCCTTCTCATCGATAATAGCTCCCCGTCCTACATTCACAATTATTCCATCTCTTCCCAATGCAAGCAAGACTTTGTTGTTGATCAAGTGGTGGGTTTCAGCAGTCAATGCACAACAAATGATAAGTGCATCACTATTCAATGCAAGTTCGCAAATATTTGAATAGAAAGGGTATGGAACAAATGGTTTCTCCTTCCTTGAGTTGTACAAGATACTGCAGCCAAACGCCTCAAGTCTTTTAGCAACTTCTAAGCCAATGTTTCCCAGTCCAACAATCCCGATTCTCTTTCCTCCTATCTGACATTTCCAATCACCAAAATCACTTTAATTTCTCTACAGAAAGAAGATTTCATTCATTTCACTGTTCAATTATCCATAAAAAAAAAACTTTAAATTATTAACTGGTAAACAACTAGAAACACTTTACTTCATTTTTTCTCCCAACTGACAAACAAAACCAATATTATTAAAGAAACAAAACAAAATAAGATTAAGGCATGTAAGTATACAAATTCAGCTTAGAAGTAGCTAGAAATGTAGACTTGGAAGTAGCTATGTTGGCTAGGATAGTATGCAGCACTACCCGTGTCTGCAATCAAGTTCAAATCAGTTTTCCACTAATCTAGATTAATTTAGAACATCGCTCGAATATATTAAAAGAGAAATGAAGTAGCTAGAAATTAAGGGTGATCACCTTAGAAACGAGAGAAAACTCTCCTCTGCTAGCCCAAAGCCGATCTCTAACATACCGATCCCCGGCAGAAATTTTCCTCATTACATCAAGAAACAACCCCACAGCCAGATCAGCAACATCGTGAGTATGGACTTCAGGGGCACTGGCAACGACAACCCCCCGCTCTCGACACTTCGGCAGGTCAACGTGGTCGAGACCTGCACTGGTGGTGACAATGACCTTCAAGGAGGGCAGCATTCCGAGGATGTTGGCAGTTATCGGAGGCCCAATGCTGGAGGACAGCAAGGCCTGGACTGAGCCTGCATGTCCGGCCAGGAACTGGTCCTGGGGAAGTGGGGAGTCCCAAGCTTTGAGGAAGTTGAACTTGTGGGAGTAGTTGGACTCCAACATAGTCCAGCATCCCGGTTGCCGAAGTACCAGGACTTGTGGGAGTTGACTTTCAGTGTGGTTATCATTGTCCTGTGCCATTGGATTGGATTGGACTGGACTGGACTGGACTGGATTCTTGAGAGTTTGAGGAGTGATGAGTGCTTTGAGATTGAGAGAGGCTTCACTGAAATTCACTCTCTCTCTTTCTCACACTAAACACCCGTCGCCCTTATTCTCCTCTCAGTTTACAACATCTCACCCTTCCACCCATTTATGTCCTGCACTGATGTATACTTGCTGGCCTGAGCTTTGGTTTTGGGTTTTAAGGCCAGAGAGATCGAGGAGAGATATGGAAAAGCTTGATGAGATAAGAGTGAGGCAGAGACCATTAAGGCAGCTCTGGAAGAATGAGAGAGAGAGGTGGAAATGGTTTTGAGTTCTGGTATGAGTGATGATGGTGGAGGGATAAAGGCTGCGCTAGGGTTTGTTTTGGGGATCTGCGTTTCGATTTGGATTTGAGGCATCGGAGTGACAGCAAGGGTTTCGAGTTCTGTGCAATAAAGGATGAGTAAATGGGAGAGAGAGAGAGAGAGCAGAAAGCTCTCAATGATTCGACAGAAAAGGAAATCGGCGTAGCTTTTAGGTTGAAAATGAGGGAAGCTGCTTAATCCGTATATATAGCTGTTGTCGTTAATGTTTGACACGCCTGTAGCCTTGCACCTGTTGGTCAGCGCCTCTCTCTGCTCACAGGTCGTCTCTTTTTTTTTTTTTTTTTTTTTTTTTTTTTTTTTTTTTTATCTCTTACATCTTTTTAGAAAAATCCCAAGCCCAACCCAAAAGAAACAAACCGACTAAATTATAGTCCATGCCCCTCAACTATAACCGTTAATAAACGGACACGTTAACCACTACACGACAAAAAATCATAAAAACGAACCGGTTTACCTTATTCAATGCCGTGAACTGACGGTTTCATCTTTCCCAAACCTATCAGTTCAAACACTATCACGCAAAAGATACTTTCCTAGAAAAAAACCCTAAAATCTCCATAGATTCCGACACTTTCAAGCCGGATTTTCGATAAGTGATACACATGTTCAGCCGGATTTCCAAAAGATTAGTGTTTCAAAGGTTTTTCTACTACTCAAAATCGTTGTTTTGCATGATTATATTTCGAACTCTGTAAAAAAATGAATGCATTATCAAAGTTTTGGATGCATTATCAAGTGTTTTTGCACTTGTTTTTGCAAAACACACTTTCGGAAAAATTTAAAAAACGCATGCATTATCAAGTGTTTTTTGCACTTGATTTTACAAAAAATTCAGTGTTCTAGTTCGAGAAAAAACAATTTCAGTGTTTTAGATGTTTTAGTTTTGCTTTTTAAGTTTATATGTGTACTGATTCTTCAACAACATCTGGAAAAAAAAATGAATATGCGTCTAAATATTGTGAGTAAAAACATTAATCGTCTAGCTTGATGTTGTACTTTGTATTGATGCTGCACTTTGTAAATTAATTCTAGTTCTACTTTATGTTTGTAAATTGGTTCTGCACATAAATATTTGTAGAAAAAAGAAAAAAGGAATCTGCATCAAGCTTGTGGTAAAAACAATTATGCGTCTACATTGTGTGTTAACAACCAATTCTGTATCTACCGTGTCTGTTAATTGATGATGCATGTACTTATGCGCTAAGTGAAGATGCGTATAGCTTGTGTGCTAAGTGATACTGCATCTAGCTTGTGCGCTAAGCATCTGCCCTTTGCATGTAGTTTGTCATTTATATGACTTCATATTATTTGATTAAAAATTATACTCATTATCGTTTCATTTTTTATGAAGATAAACATTTAGCAACCAAAAAGTAATTAACTCAAAAACCTCCTATTGTAAAGCGTCGGGCGACAGATGATAACTATGTTCAAATAAGGCTGAATCTCATGACCTTTGCTGAACTAATACAAGAGCTCAAGCCAAAACTTGATGAAAAAATAGATGTCTTGGCATTCATATATAAGTCACCTTTTGGCAGACTTGTGAAAGTTTGCATAAAAGGTGAATTACAAATGAAGAAATCATACTGGGATGTCATACATATAGTGAACTGGTATGATGTTGAAAAAGGAATGTTCAAATTCAAAAATGGATATTGCCAAGTAAATACTAATGATGTTCGAAACATATTTGGGATCCCAAACCGAGGCAGAAAAGCCCCTCAGTCAACAAGAGACTCAAGAATCCCAAAGGCGAAAGAAAACAAATTTGTTGATAAATAATTTTAAGAAATGACAAGAATCGGTAGAAGAGAAATTGCACAAGAAATTCAAGTTGCATTTAATACTGGGACAATATAAGGGAATCAAGATGCAGCCTACCTTATAATTCTATATTTGCTCAACACAAATCTACTTGGGAGCTCAGCAGGGAAACTCCCTTAGAGTTTGGCCAAGAATTGTAACTCCATCAATAACATAAATCAGTACAATTGGGCCAAGGAAACAACAAGATACTTGATGGAATCAATTGATAGAACACAAAAGAGGAAAAGAGACAAACAACCAAACTTTAGCGGCGCTATTGTACTTTTACTGGTAAGCAAACAAAAACTAATAAAAATAAAAAATAAAAATCAGTTTTTGTCTTATTTTACAAAAATATACAAATCTCTAACTTTTATTTTGTCTACAGTATTGGCTTTGTGATCACACCCCAATCGTCAAACCAATAGAAGGAAAGGAGAAACAACTTGCCAACAGCAGTGAAGTGTGTTGTTTAGAGGTAAAGTTTTGGTCTCCAGTTTTGGTAGTTCTGCATGAAAAAATCTATAAAGAAACGAATGAAAATTTGGAGGTGAAGTTGATACTGCATATACTTTTATGTAAAACATGAATCTACATGTACTTTGTGTGAAAAAAATATTCTGCAAGTGCCTGTTGTGTGTTTTTTTCAAACAAAGTATCAAAAAACATAACTCTTAAACCTTTCACAAATGGAGAATGCAAAACCAATTGAAGAGTCAGTTGAACAACACTTAGAAGATGATGACGACGACTTTGTCGATCCTCCACTTGCATCTAAAAAGAGGAAAATGGAAAAGCAAGTAGATAAGAAGGAACCAAAAGCCAAGAAAGCTAAAGTAGCAAAAAAATTGGTTCTTGAACATGAAGATCCTGAAGAAGATGAAACCATAGTGGGACACAAGCAATTAACCAGCAAAAAAATTGGTACTTGAACATGAACCTGAAGAAGATCAAAATGTAAGGGGCCTGTACAACCTCCACAAGATGATCAAGTTATTGAAAAAAAATGATGACGATGATGAAAGAACAATATCAAATGGAATGGGAAAGGTGATGCTAATGATGAGATAGATGACGTTCAACAGCAAGAAGAAGATGACGATGAAAAAACAGTTTTAGATGTGCCGAAAAAAGGCGATGATCAAATAGATGATAAGATATACAAATGACACTGGCTGCATGGAAGACAAAAACACAAAGCCAAGATAAGCTCAAAAATCAAGACAATAACCCAACAGACAAAATGGTAAATCCAAAAACAAACTATTTTTGCTTAAATTTTGTATTTATATTTTATATAAAATCATGAGTTTGCCATAAAAATTATTAAAATGCCAACAACTGAATGATTTTGGTATAACTGATGTTGCATGCTAATTCTGGTATAACTGGTGTTGTATACTAATTTTGGTATAACTGATGCTGCATACTAATTTTTTATCATTGATGCTAGATGCTAATTCTTGTATAAGTAATAATGCATACTAAAAACTTATATAAGTAATGATGCACACTAAAAATAATATAAAAGCAATGCTGCATACTAATTCTTGTATAACAAAAATACTGAATAATAAAATTTGATTCATATTCTTGATTCTCCTATAACTAATGCTGCATGATTATTCTGCTATAAACTGAAGCTTTGTGATTATAATCTATAACTAATGCTGCATAATTATTCTGCTATAAAACTGAAGCTTTGTCATTATAATCCATAACTGATGTTCACTTTGACACGCTGGTTGATAGTCAAAGTATCTTTGGCACACAACTTCCAAATGAGCAAGTCCAAGATGACCAAAATGTTCCACATGTTATGCCTATCCAACTGTTGAAAATGAAGAAAGAAATATGGACATCACAAACATGGATGTGACTGAAATTGATAGGGTGATCAACAATGTGGTTAATTTCAATATAGAAGAGGCAGTACCAAAATAGGCTCCAAGTACATCAATTGAAGAATCAATTTCTCTAGTGCAAGAAGTGGCAGTTGGTATGTTGTTTCCTTGCATTTAGTTAGTTAATTACTACTTATTATAGTGTTTTAAGCTATTTTCGTGTGTTTATAGGCCCTAATGGCATCTCATGCTTCTGGTAATCTGCGTAGTGGGACAAGTTTAGCGGATCAGGTAACAATATTTTTATTTATTTATATGCATTCCACCCACATCAATATTTTAATTTATTTAATTTCTTATGTAATTTCTATGTAATTTCTTATGTAATTTATATGCATTCCACGGCCATCAATATTTTAATTTATTTATTTATGTTACACCCGTATTTTTTAATACTATCTTATCCCACATTTTTATAGACACTACAAGCACAAGCATTCTACAATGCAAAGAACCGTAACAAATCATTCAGCAAATGGGAATGTTGGCAAATTGTCAAAGATTGCCCTAGATACAAAATTGTGGCAACCGGTCCAGAAGTTGCCATGCACGGTATGGGTCTACACAGTTCGTTAGAAGCAGACACGGCTGAACAAGAAGCCAACACATTTGAAGACACGGAATGGATGCCTGAAGAAGTGCCGGAGGCCCAACTGACTCGTTAGTCCCTCAGGCCTCAAGGTAAAAAGGCATCAAAGAAAAAAGGTAGTTCTTCAAAAAATGACTACGCTAAATATATGGAGGAACTTGCTCGCCAAGGTGAACTGAACATGGCATGGGAAAAGGCTAGAGATGAGGAAAAAGCTACTGCTATGGCAGCAATAATAGCAACTACTAAGGCTCGTGATGCAGCAGCTGAGAGACAAAGAGAAATAGTTAATCGAGAGAACGAGATGATTAGAGAAGCACTTCATCGAGAGAATGAGATGCTTAGAGAAGAAAGGATGGCTCAAGCAGATCGTGACACTATGAACAAGTCTCTAGTAGGACTGTCTCCGAATTCAAAATATTTTTGGACATCAGAAAAAAGAGATGTCGTGCGAAGGAGGCGTACAAGAGATGCCGAAACAAGTCAAGGGGGTTCCAGCTACAGAAATCCTAGCAACCAAGATCTAGCACCACATATCATAACTCC